TTGTCCAAAAAATTTAATATAATAATTATAAAAGACAAAGAGAGAGAGAGAGAGAGAGAGAGAGAGAGAGAGAGAGAGAAAGAGAGAAAGAGAGAAAGCATTATTTTTTAAAATAAATAAAAATGTAAAAATGTAAATTTTTAAAATATATAACTGGAAAATAAACATTCTAAGTGTAAAACGGTAAACTATAATAAAAATAAAATGTTATGTAATTTCTAAATAAAAAACGCAATACTGATGATGCAATCTTATTGTTAATTTTTTATTGCCTAATTATGAAACGAGCAAATACAATAAAGACATATAAATATAATTTATATTTTTGCTTAGAAATATCTCATTTATATGCATCCTTTGTAGTTCCACATTTCTATTACAATCTTTCTTCCAGTTTCTCAGTTGTGGGTTTTTCTTGAATTTATCCACGAAAAATGCTACTACTTCTTTCCCTCACCGTCAATATCAATACCGCCAGTACCAACACCTCCACCAAGCTTAAATATAAGACACGTTTTTATTAATATCAATACATCGAGAACCATTTTTCTATATTCATGTTAGCATTACTTACCTGGGGTTTGGCCATACTCATTGCATTGGCTTCGGAAATAGCTTCTGCTTCCGCTTCAGGTGCGTACATTACCGCCATAAGAAAAATTATGGCAAAAGCTAACGACAGATATGACAGCAGCATTTCTTAATATTTATTAAAACTCAAGCTACGTTGGCTGGAATGTTAGTAATTTGTTAACGACACGTAGCGCTTATATAGCCCAAAAATAAGATTTAGATATGGTTTTCGAAGTTTTTCTATCACCTACTTAAATTTCTTATTGTAATTCGTATATTCAACACATACTTACATAAATATTATATACAAAGTCATCAAAATATTTTTATCGTTTGTGAGAAATGTTCAATGTTAAAGAAACGATAAGATAATAAAAATTACATGCACAAAACTGTTTATACGTAGAATATGACTCAGATAGTAACACATTTATCTTTAAGACTAACACAAACTTTGTAGCCATAGAAGAAACCGTATTGTCATTTTCTAAAAATTTTGTGATAAAATTGTGAACATTCAAATCAGAATGTTCTTCCAGGTTAGATAATAAATGTTTGTTTTTGATAGTGATTTACTACGCATATTTCTACAACATTATAGCATTATTTCGTCGCATATAAGCGTTTAGCGTTTGGAGATTATAAAGCATTTAACGATGAGATCAATATTGCGATTGGTTCTCCGTTATTCTTTATGCGGAAACGATAGTGATTGCGAAGTGCGGATACAACAGTTACTACCTTGAAAAGAATGTCGATCATGCCTTCATAAATATAAAAAACATATTGATTTTTACATATTTTATATTTTATATTTTATATTTCAAATTTTTATGTTGATGTTTAATAAAATAATTTTTAATTTAAAATTTCCCCTATATTTAATTTATATAAATTATTCCTTTTCAATGTTGTTGTAGATCATATTCTTAAATAAAATATATCGCATTCTATTCGGAAGAATATTGTCACAACTAAAAAAAATTTTGATTTTTAGTTAAGCCTATAAAAAGTGTACCTAAAATGTTACATGCGTGCTATAATAGTGTCGCAAGTCTATATAAAAAATCCGCTGCACGGGGCACAAATGTCATTAATTCTTTGAAATCGATTATGCGGTTTCCTGGATGAGTAGTGTCATAAAGTGAATTCACAAGTAAATCACAGCAGACCTCTTCAAAAAACAGTATAAGTTTTATTATAACAAAATATTGTAATTGTAATTGTGTTATACTTACCTCACAATTCAAATAAATAGAATTAAATTTGTTTTTTTCTTTCTCCT